AAGGCGAGACACTAGCCTCGTAAGACTCATCGCGATGTTTAAAGCGGAGTCTTACGAGGAGGCAGAGGTAGAGGGCAGCTGGGGGGACCACGGGAACGGAGATAACGGCTGGCACTATCTTGACATCGACAAAGTCACTTTAGTGCCGGCCGGGTGCTGACCCTCATGTATTTAGTATAGGGAAATAATGTATATACTGAACATAGTATAGGGAAATATTGTATATATTCAAGAGTACTTACACAAGAAATACTCATAATCGTAAGATAATAATCTCCGTTCCCTATAATTAAGAGTACCTACACAAGAAATACTAATAATCGTAATATAATCATATCACAATCTGCCCTCTACCTCGTTCGAGCTGCACCTCTTTTGTTTTTGGAACAAAAAAGAAGTTTGAGGGGTAAAGGGTTTAGGGTTTTCAGGGTTTAGGGTTTCTAGGGTTTCAGGTTTTTAGTTTTTTTTTGTGGGTTTTTAGGGTTTTGGGGGTTTAGCTTAATTAGGGTTGTTTAGGGTTTTTAGGGTTTTTAGGGTCTTTAGGGTTTTTCGGGTTTAGGGTTTTTAGGGTTTAGGGTTTTTTAGTGTTTGAAGGGTTTGAGGGTTCAGGGTTTTCGGGGTTTAGGGCTTTAGGGGTTTAGGGTCATGAAAACCTCGATTCCAGTACTAAGCCAGTACTGATAATCAACGACAATCCAGCATCATGACAACCTCGGTTCCAGTACTAAGCCAGTACTGAAAAGCAACGACAATCCAGCCGGGATCATGAAAACCTCGCTTCCAGTACTAAGCCAGTACTGAAAATCAACGACAATCCAACCGGGATCATGAAAATTTCGATTCCAGTACCAAGCCAGATCATGAAAACCTCGATTCCAGTACTAAGCCAGCACTGAAAATCAACGACAATCCAGCCGGGATCATGAAAACCTCGATTCCAGTACTCAGCCAGTACTGAAAATCAACGACAGTCCAGCCGGGATCATGAAAGCCTCGATTCCAGTACTAAGCCAGTACTGAAAATCAGCGGCAATCCGGCCGGGATCATGAAATGCTGGCCTGCGAGAACGCGAAATACCAAAAGCGATAACAACAGCTGCAAAGCCGCGGCAGCAGCTTTGAATTTTGCCGCTCGCTCATATATATATATATATATACATATATTCATATGTACATACGCATACATGTAAAAACGCATGCACACGCACATAGATACAGATATACATGTGTATATATACATATATATATATGAGAATGACATTGAAGAACTGACAGAGAAGTTATGCACAATACCACTAGCAACAGCACATTGGGGGCGCCCACGGTCACCACAAATTGTCATTGCCCCACTTGCCCCATTTGCCCCACGTGCTTTTCCGGAAGAGCTAATAATCCACGTTGCCCCGCTTGCCCCACTTGCCCCACTTGCCACCCCACTTTCCCACCTGCCCCCAAGTGGGGCAAGCGGCGCAAGTGGCAGAAATCACTTAGCGGCCCACACGGGGGCAAGTGGGGCAAGTGGGGCAAGCGGGGCAACGTCGCTTTCCACCCAAGAACCAGAGCAAGTGGGGCAAGCGGGGCAAGTGGCAGAAAACACTTCGCGGCCCACTTTTGCACGCCCACTGCAACAGCAGCAATAGCGACCTATTGACATTCAAAAATTCACCATCACCATGATCATCAGCATAGTATGGATAAAATCATGCCCGCACATATATACATATAAAAAATATGTTTATATATATATCACACGCACCCATACGTATAGGTACAATATGTCTCTGTGTGTGTATGTACACATGTTTATGTACATGTATGTGTGATATCTAGCTCTCTATCTCTCTACAAATATAAATACATATACATATAAATACATATAGATAGAAAGTAAATACAAACGTAAATACGTACATACATATATATATATATATGCATCAAGCACTAATCGCAACAATTTCTGAAGATCCCAGTCCTAGCACCACGTGCAGCGGCACAAAGATGACAACCTTCACCTTCGGTTATCATGATTTGTTTGGCTTGCCACCTGGATAAGAGGGCATAGGGTTGAGCAGCAGGATGCAGGAGAGAAAGGCCCGGCAAAGCTTGCGTCCACAAACAGCCCTGTTCGCGACATCGTGTCTGCAGGCCTGTCCCATCTGCCGCGCGGCGGTGACGGGCCTGTTTGCCACTTTTAGTGGATAAATTTTTCTGGCGCGAGATATGCGCAGACGTCCTTGAAACTATGACAAACCATGACTGATGCAAACTGGAGGGTCGAGTACAGGCCGTTGATCGGGCTATAGTACGCAGCCCATTTCTTGCAGCAGTTGCATAGAAGCTATGTCAGCTGTCTACGCGTGTCACCTGTCTTACGTAGGAGCTTTTCGCTGAATTGCGGCCGAAATGAGGTTTCATCATGTTTGAGACAGTTGTTTCGGCTCAGGGTTTTGCATTCGGCGTTGTCGGGTGCTGGCCTTAGCCAGAGAGCCCAATACCCGTC